AGTAAACTCATAATTCTGACTCAATTTTCCCATACAAACTCTTAAAATCTGCTTCGACAAGGTCTTACAATTCTTATGTCGTGGGAACAACCTTGTGAAGATTCGCAACTGCGTAGTTCGATATGCATTCTGCAGAAGTTTGCTCAACTAAATCACTCGTAAACGGTCGAATATGTTGGTCGACAAATTTTCCTTGAGCCGGAAGACTCTTCGTATTTTCAGAGAGCTCAGTACGCCATTTTTAAATACCCCAACTTTAGGAAGGAGAACACGAAGGATACAAGTCCCTGTAACTACACAATTTGGCCACCATTTTCCTTGTTTTGACGTCTCCTTTGACTTTCTGGGATAGTAAGGTGCCAAGCCTTTCTCTGGCAGGGTTTTACAAAAATAGAAAGTTACGTGTTCACTTCACTTCCACCGCAGCTATATTGAATTTGTCTGTAATATGATATACCGCTGAAATTTGTTAACGGGCTCGAAATGTCCCCGATTTCTGGTGATGCAAAGTTTCAATTCAACTTGCTTGCATACTCTGTTAGGTTTTTGTTGTTATGGTGTAATAGTACCAAAATAGAAAAGGATATTTTCTCCTCTTGTTACGGACAATAAAACAAATCTGAGTTTTCATTACGAAACGAACCTCAGACCCTCGGATTCCGAGTTCTGATGGTCTACCACTGAGCCACAGGGACAGTGTGGTAGATGAGGCCCATTACAAAGTTCGTGTATGCCACGGGTCCCGCATACTGTTAGATTGGCAGGACGCGTGTCATACATGTATATGATATTGCTAATGGACCTTGCTCACAATAGTCTCTGAGCTCTGTGAAAAATTAAATACCATGTAGCATTACAAAGGCAGCTTATTAGTAGCACATTTGGATTTATAAAAGCAAATATTGTTTACTTGTCTATGATATTGAATAAATTTATCTCAAATGATTATTCTCCTTTATAATGATATGAGAATTCTTCTTTGGATGACTAGGTTGTCAAATCAAAGGGTGTTATTCACATCTTTGTACATTTTCGATTGAACCGGTAAACTTCGTAATCTACCATCGGCAGCCTTTTTCACTCAAGGATGTTTACTTTCATTCAAGTTCTGGAAACCGTCTTTAACCCATTATGCCCTTCGAAATACAAACGGGACCTCGAATGTAAGCAGTCTAGTAAGTTGATTTTACTTGTTACACCTCGGAAGTTACGTAGTTTTCTCCAATTTCTTCAAATTTGTTTGTTTTTCTTATCGGGATTCTATTTATTGATTTATTTCCGTTTCTCCTAGACTATCTGAGTGAGATGTTTCTCTTCTCTCGGAAGAGCTTGCCGAAGTCATAAACTCGTCGCTTTCGGACACTTATCTCAAGATTATGTCGAGGGTTACGGGAAAAAAAACTGTGGGTAACTTTTCTTAAGTTTGCTTGAGAAGAGGGCAAAATTACAAGCTCATGATTGGTACAAAGGTTGCCTAGCAACAGGTTATGCTATTGAAAAGTTGTTGCTGAAGATTTTCTGTAACAATGGAGTCTCGTTTCGAGATAGCTGACGAGGAATATATCGAAGAATTAAAAGATAAGAGTGAAAACGAAAACACGAGGAAAAGCACGGAGTACTGGAAGAGCGTTTTTAAAAAGTGGGCGAATGAAAGAAACTTCTAAGCAAATTTAGAAGAGTACGAGAGCGATATCCTCGACTGAACACTGGTGCAGTTTTATGCCGAGTTACGAAGAGAAAACGGGGATGAATATGAGCCCGACTTCCTGAAAGTAATGCAGGCATCGCTGGGGAGATATCTAAAATCAAAAGCATATCCAAGGTCCTGGAATCTTTGTGCAAAACTAAAATTTCATTCAGCTCATTCGTGCGTTTGTGGCCATTGATTCTCTGTCAACTTTAAATGGCTTCCTATGACTGATTGCTGAAAGGTTGCATTCAGAAATTCAGTAATTTTCCCTTCAATCTCATTAACAAGTAATCGCAATGGGTCCTCGTAAAATTAAGGATTAATATCACTTGTGTCTTCAGAAGTTGCTGAAAACACGCCTGATATGAATCCTTAATTTTACTCGGCCCCATGCGAGTACCTATACTAATCTTCTAGCTTGCCCTCAGGCCTACTAATCGGGGACACTGCTTAAAATACTTATTAATGATAAATATATATTAATAATACTATAAGTTAATAAGATTTAACGTAATTAACTTAACTAACTTAACTAACTTGCAGACCTCAAGACAAGTGACCCTCCAATTTAGGCATTAGGAGGACACAACATTGGCGACGAGGTTAATTCTGTGAGTCACACGATGTCTTCGAGTGAAAGTGGCGCTTCCAAAGCGATTCCTAAGTTCGATTGTCACTCGGAACCTGCTACGTTGGGACCACGCTGGACGCGATGGTTAACATCTTTTGAATTGTTTGCGGATGGCAAGGGCCTAATCATCACTGAAAGTACAAATGCAACAACGAGGCAACGAAGAAGAGCTATGCTTCTCCATTTAGCGGGACAACATGTACAAGAAATCTTCTCTACTCTCGCGGACACCGGAGACGCAACGGACTACGCCGCACCTGTAACAGCACTGAATGGCTATTTTCGTCCCAAAGTAAACTCCGCTTTTGCTCGACAAGAATTTCACCGACTCCAAAAGCAGCCAGGTGAGACTGTCTTGCAGTTTGCAGCCCGACTGAGAAAAAAAGGGAAAGACTGTAATTTTGGGGCAGACTTTGATAACCAGATAAGAGATGCGATCTTGTGCAAATGTAGGTCAGATCATGTTAAACGTAAATTACTTGAAGAAAGAGAAGAAATTACTCTCGCACGCACATTAGAACTTGCAGAATAGTGTGAAAGTGTAGAGCACCAAATGTCTCAGCTCAGCACGAGTGAACAGACTAAAGAAGCATACAGAGTCTATGAAAAACCAAGGAGATCAAAAGGTCAACAAACAAAAATTCAGAGAACATGAATAGAGATAGTCAATGTTCTCATTGCGGATGGAGTGGTCACATGGTTGGAGATCCAAAATGCCCTGCCAGCGGTGGAACATGTCAAAAATGCAAAAAGAAAGGTCACTTTGTTAGTGTCTGCAAAACCAAACCAAAGAAGCCAGGAGTCAACCAGGTGCAAGAAGAACAACAATCCAACGGGGAGCAAGTTGATTATGCATTCAGGATCACCAATGAAGCTCAGTCAAATATGCTCAAGTTGTCTGTGGGAAGAGTATAATTAGAAATGTTGGTGGATTCTTGGGCCACCAGTAACATTGTTGATGACTGTACATGGGAAGATCTGAAAGCTAAGAAGATCAAGTGTAAATCTCAAGCCGCTCCTGTCGATAAAAAATTGTATGCCTATGCATCCAGCAAACCCCTCCCAGTAAAAGGTCGCTTCACGTGTGAAGTACTAGTGGGTAAAGAAAGAGTCCGGACCGAATTCCTACTTATCAGAGGAAAGGGAATACCTCTCCTGAGCAAAGACACCGCAATGAGGCTAGGGGTGCTGAAGATAGGTGTTGATATCGCCACAATCACTGAAAGCAAACAGACACTGCAACAAAAATTCCCTGAAGTGTTTAGTGGGATCGAAAAGTTGAAGTCCAAGCAAGTAACATTGCATATAGATCAGGCAGTGAAGCCAGTAGCCCAACCCCAGAGGCGAATCCCCTTGAATTTGCAAGATAAGGTAGAAAAAAAGGTCCGGGAGTTGTTGAAATGTGATATTATAGAGGAAGTAGACGGGTCTACACCATGGCTAAACCAAGTGGTGATCGTACCAAAGGCAGATGGTGACCTACGACTCTGCATTGATATGAGACAAGGGAACAAGGCTATAATACGTGGTAGATATCCAATACCAACGGTAGATGAACTGCTACACAACAAAAATGGTTCAAAATTCCTCGGCAAGTTAGACCTAAAGTGGGGATATTACCAATTGGACCTAAGTCCAGAGTCGCGACAGATCACCAACTTTGTGACGCACAAAGGATTATACAGGTACAAACGTCTATTGTTTGGCGTGAGTTCGGCGAGTGAGGAATACCAACATAAAATATCCACAGCTTTAGCCGGAATAGAAGGAGTCGACAATATCTCTGACGACATCATAGTACACGGTACGGATAAGGCAACTCACGACCAACGATTGGATAAGACAATGGAACGTCTCAAGCAGCAGGGCTTAACCCTCAATGCTAACAAATCTCTACTCAATGTGGACAGAGTGATTTTCATGGTTATTCTTCTCTCGGCAGAAGGAATCGGCGCAACAGAAGAAAGAGTTAGAGCCTTGCAAGAAACAAGTGAGCCTGCCACTGTCAGCGAAGTAAGAAGTTTCCTGGGATTGGCTAATTATAGCAGCAGATTCATTCCTCATTTTGCCACCATCACTGAACCATTAAGGAGTCGTAACCAGAAAAAATGTCCCATTTCACTTTGGACCCGAGCAGAAAACTACTTTTAAGACCCTGAAACAGAGCATGGCTGACGCAGGAACACTAGCTTATTTTGACAAAGGTGCAGTAGCTAAAGTCATAGCTGATGCCAATCCAGTCGGCCTTGGAGCTGTCATGACAGGACGGAAAATGCGTGCACTGTAAGTACCTTCCCGTTGTCCCGAACAAAGCCATAGAAAAGTTTTCTAAGGCTTTGTATGGGAAAACAAGAGGGTACTTACAGTGCACGCATTTTCCGTCCTATCATGTAGTACAGAATCAGAATGAAGCATGGGTGCCGATTTGCTATGCCAGCCACAGCTTGACAGAGTGCAAGCGCAAAGACTCCCAGACCGAAAAGGAAGCCCTTGCTCTCGTTTGGGCATGTGAGAGGTATCATGCATACATTTATGGCAGGACATTTGATCTAGTGACTGACCACAGACCATTGGATCATCTATGGGCCGCGTTCCAAGCCCTGTGCCCGCATTGAACGCTGGGTAATACGCCTACAACCAAATGACTTCCGAATCGTGTATACTCCAGGGCGGAATAATATGGCTGACCCTCTTTTCCACTTGCTCAAGCAAGATAAAGTAGAGAGTCATCCTCATGGAGCAGAAGAATACATCCGATTCGAAGCCATCAGTGCCACTCCCCGGGAATTAACCAAAAGAGAGGTCGAAGAAGCATCTGCAGCAGATGAAGAACTAAAAGTCTTGAGAGAAGCGATTAAAACAGGCCGATTTGAGAAATGCAAAGAGTATGCACCAGCCGCAGGAGAACTGTGTGTGATTGGACAGCTGGTCTTAAGAGGTACCCGTATTGTATTACCAAACAAATTCAGATCTCAAGCAATCAGCTTAGCCCACGAGGGGCACCTGGGAATCGTTGGTACAAAGCAAAATTTAAGAAGTAAAGTGTGGTGGCCTCGTATGGATAAGGCGGCAGAAAAATTCTGCAAGTCCTGTCATGGATGTCAACTGGTATCTCGCCCAGACGCACCCGAACCATTGAGATCCACTACACTACCGGAAGGGCCTTGGCAAGACCTAGCCGTAGATCTTCTTGGACCACTTCCATCTGGGCACACAATTCTCGTTGTTGTGGACTACTACAGCCGTTATTATGAGTATACAATCATGACGTCAACCGTCACAGAGAAAGTAATCGACAACCTGGAGGAAATCTTTAGCCGCGATGGCCTTCCTCTGACCATCAAGTCAGACAATGGTCCACCATTCCGCTCAGAAGAATTTCGGGAATATTGTAAGTAGAATGGAATTGTTCAAATCAAGACCACACCAAAATGGCCTGAAGCCAACGGGGAGGTGGAGAGACAAAATGCATCCCTGATGAAGAAGGATTCGCATTGCCCAAGCTGAAGGGCTAGACCTGATGAAGGAGTTAAGAAGATAAGTGACTAAATACAGAGGTATTGCTCATGCGACAACCGGTAAGAGCCCTGCCAAATTATTGTTTAACAGGAAGATGAGAGGAAAGCTACCAGAGCTACATGCTGACTATCACTTGGACCTGGAAATTCGCGACAGAGATGCAGAAGTGAAAGCAAAGACCAGAGCGTATGCTGATAAATTCATGAATGCAAAACCATCAGATGTTCAAGTTGATGATCAAGTCCTGGTGAGGCAAGAGAAAAGGGACAAATTTTCCACACCATTTAATCCAGTACCATTCCAAGTGGTTAGCAAGACCGGTAACAGTGTTGTTCTGGAAACTCCAAGTGGAACGCAGTATTCAAGGAATACATCCCATGTTAAGAACTTTGTGAGCCTTGACGATCCTATAGAACCACCTGCCAGTAACGGTTGTAATTACAGTACCTGAAACTACCGCGGTCCCAAATCAAGCGATAAGTGGATCTACACCAGCAGCGCCTTCAACACTTCCGAGTGGACCCCTGAATCGTATCACACCTTCAGCAGAAGCAAGTGCAGGAAACGAATATGAGTCGACCCCTGCCAGCAAGAATGCGGCAGTTGATCAAGCAACAGTACCTAGCATGCCAACAACACCAAAAGGTGGAAGACCTCAGAGACAGAGAAGACCCCCTGAGAGATATAAAGACTTTGTTCTGAAATGTTGAACCTTGTTTGAAACAGTGAACTTTAATTTGAAATGTTAAACTTTGTTTTATACTGGGATTGTTTCGAACTGGTGAACCTCGTGTTGAAATTAAGTGAACTAGTTATTACCAGTTTTCCATTCAGTTTTCAGCTTTGCATGTTTTGTTTCGGATTAAGTTTTAAGGTCTATTGTTCTCTGTCTTCTTCGAGAAAAGGAGGCATGTCATGTATTACATAATGTAGTGAGCGCAGGTAAGTTTCGTGTAGGTTTACATCAAGTATGGAGAATAAAGGAGCACATGGTCGACTAGTGTGTTAACTTCGTTCTTGCGGACTTCAAGACAAGTAACCCTCCAATTTAAGCATTAGGAGGACACAACAAGTAGAGAGTCTTACAAACAACTATCAAAAGAATAATGTTTGCGTTCCCTTATAGGAAAGAGATATAGAGTTCCATACAGCAATGTTAAAGGTGAAGAGGTAAAATCGTTCAAATCTGTAATAAGTAAATAAGCGACATCAAACACGTCGCTAGAACTTAATAAACACCGTGATATCTAAAATTAAACTGCAAATGAATTAAAAACCACATCAAGAAAATAGGGAACCACTAATACGCTTCACGTGCTTCCGAAACACGTGGAATTTTTGACATAAATTAACGATAATTGATACCGTGTTCAATCTCCTGTGTACAAAATTGAAGTCTTAGATTCACAACGTGAAAGTTGAAATGAAAACTACAAATCTGATATTATAAAGTGCCTTATTAAATAAGTCAATTGAGTATAAAATGTCGTATACAAAACGTAGTTTTCTTAACTCGGTCTTAAGTACCCATCGTAATCAGAGTTTTCAAATTAAAACTCGACCACTGAGTAGCCTTGCAAATGCAGCTTATAAGCTACACATTCAGAACTCAATAAAGAATACTCAAGTTAACGCTAAGTGTTTGCTGCAATATCGTTTATTTGTCGGTGATATTGATACGACATTTACTGATTCTCAAAGATTTATTTTCTTTAAAAAGATATTTTTATATTTTGCAAGCAAACTTTATTAAAGTAAAGCAAACTTTATTTAAAGTAAAGTAAAGTAAAGTAAAGTAAAGCAAACTTTATTTACACAGGGTAGCCCATTCAGCTCTAAGGCTGGTATCCATAGGGGCCCTGTATTGAAAATAATTTACATCAAATTTCTAGAACAGATATATATGTATATATAATGACTAAGATTTTACAACTACATTAACAGCCTAAAACTACAAAGCTAAAACACAATTAAAACATAACATAGTAAATAAAATATCAAAATTATCAAAATTACGGTAAAAGGAAATGTTTTGCTCGGCGACAGAACGTTTGAATGTTTTCACTCTTCACAATGTTTAAAGGAAGTTTATTAAAAATTTCTGCGCCAGTAAAAAGAAAGGTCCTTCTCCCAAAATTCTGTTTTACTTTTGGTAGGGATAGCCTCAGACTTTGCCTCGTGGAATAATTGTGAATATTCGAAAATCTGGTAAAATATGATGAAAAGTAACTAGGAACTAATGAGTGGAGACAGAGAAAAACGAGTTTAGCCTTGTGGTAATAGCGTCTACTGGAAAGAGTCGGCCATTGCAGCTGATCTATTGCTTCAGATGACCGAGAGCAACGTGTAATAATCCGTGCAGATCTATTTTGTAAGCGCTGTAGTCGATCTATATCTTGTTGTAAAAGGTTACTCCAGGCAATGTCACAGTAATCAAATAAGGGAAGAATTAAGGTATTATGAACAAGTATTGCTGCCTCTTTTGTGACGAAACTTCTAATGCGGCCCAGAATACTAACTCTTGACGCCACCTTTTTACACATATAGTCTG